TTACATTTTATATGTAAAAAAAAAGTTATTTATGAAGTAAACTTACATAAATATAATATTTTAAAAACACTTACTTTACAAAGTAAAATAAAACTACATCGTAACAACACTTTACGTTACTTTACATCATAACAATTACTTTTACGTTTAAACGGAACTAATTAGCAAAAACAGCTTTCATAAATGTAATTTGAAAAAAATTGTTATTTACAATTACAAATAAAATTAATTTTTTTCTTTAAAATTTTATACTTTACTTTGTAAGTAAGTAAAAATGTAAGTTATATTATTTACTTTCTCAAAGAACAGTCATTTAATGTTGATTTAACATAAATTTTGAGTTACATAGCGTATTTAAATCCATTGTCTGCGCTTCTGAGTATACTTTAGGTAATACTTTGTTGTATGTAGGCAGTATTTGGATTGGTGCATCGGGAAAGGATTTTTTTTCACGTAAATTATAAAGGGTAGTTTTATTATAATTAAGGGCAAATATATTTAACATGCGGGTATAACAGTAGTGTAGAGATGGGCTCCCTGCCGTATGAGTGCTATTAGGGGCTGCTAAATAATCATTGATTTTTTGTTTCTTTTTTTTGTTGAGCAAAAATAGGTTAGTGGCTAAAGCCACTAACCTATTTTTGAAACTTTGGTGCGAAGGGAAGTGGGCATAATTTCTAAGTTATGGGTAACTCATGCGTGTGTAAATCTTTACTAAATCACTGTTCTTTAGAGCGCTCTTTTTCTCCAATTTTTTTTCTTTGTATTTGCCTTTTCAATCAAGCATTTTGTTATGGCAATATGACGCAGTTTAAAATTTTTGGTATCGGCAATCATTTTTGGTATCGACATCTTATATAACTATCTGATATAATTTAAATGACTAACGGAGTGTTTATCATATATAATCTTTTATTGCATTTTATCATATATAGTCTATTTGAAAAAAGATGGTAAGGAAAGCTGTTCAATAGGTTGTGGGCACCCTAATAATCTCCTTTTTGTTGCGTTTGTGTCCAACCCGCACAAGAATGATTAGAAAAATAAAATCTTATTCAATTAAAATAGTGATTCAGAATAAACTTGTAATGTTTTTCAAACGTTAGTTTGACTTCGCAAGTTGATTGTAGGTTATTAGTTGTCCCGGAATCTTGCCCTTGATTTTTCACTACCTTCCAGACTAGCTAGAGCTTTGAAACTTCCAGCATTTGTGTTAATTTAATGAAAACACATCTTCAAATTGTTTTCAGAGCCAACTTGAGAACTCCAATTTTTAGTGTCCTGGGCAAGGGGAGTCGTACCCTTATTTTTTTTCTCTAATATTTTGTTTTTCTTTAAAGTTGGGGTTTATAACATTTTAGAAAAAAAGATTTTTTGCAAAAAAACTTTGAAAAGGAACTTAAATGTCTTTTTTTCAAAAATTTAAATTAAAACAAATAAATCAAAAAAAACTTTTTTTTGATTTATTTATTTTAGTATTTTTGATTTAGTAATTTTTTTGTCGGTAGGAAATAAGTTAGTAGTCTTAATAAAAGTTTACTGTAAAGGAGCTGGGCGTTTTTGTAGCTATTCTGTTGCTTTTCGCTTCTCTTATTCAGCGTGGTCGTTGTTAGGCATTTAAGGGGGGGGGGGGTGTATGTATTTTTTGGCTAACTAGAAACACACACACAAAAAATAAGGTCCTCTATATTTCACATTTGCCAACTATACTTCAAAACTTGCCTACTGAAATGCTAAATGTACAAACGTGCTAACTCAAATGCATATAACAGTATGGAGGGAGGGGTTATCTCCTATACCCCCCGTTCGGGAAGGCCCTTGTCGGCCCTGGTCGTAACAACCACTCTAACAGAAATGAAAATAATTTTTTTTGTTTTGTTTATTTATTTATAGCTATTAATGTCTGGAATAAACTAATTTTTGTTACTCTATTCTAGACAACAATTATTCCAGTAAGTCATTTCCATTAATAACTTTTATTTTGGTTAGAATGGTTTTTAACAACAACCTCGCTGAATAAAAGAAACCAAAATACAATATTAGAATTAAGTTGCAAAATGCAGCGCAATTTTTAAAGCAAGAACAATAAACTCTTTTAAAAAAAACTTATAAATAAATAATTTAAATAACATCAATATTAATTGAAGGAAAAACAATTGAAGGAAAAAAAATAGGGGTGGGAGTTAAGGTTAGTTTTAGTCTAACTAAAAATACTTAACTAAATTTTTAGTCTAACTAAAATTAGTTAACTAACTTTTTAGTTAACTAAAATTAGTCGACTAACTTATTAGTTAACTAAAATTACGCGACTAACTTTTTAGTTAACTAAAATTACGCGACTAACTTTTTAGTTAACTAAAATTACCCGACTAACTTTTTAGTTAACTAAAATTAAAAGCGACTAACTTTTTAGTCTTACTAAAATTAAGCGACTAACTTTTTAGTTAACTCAAATTAGTCGACTAAATATTTAGTGTAACTAAATTTAGTTGACTAAAGCAGGATTTAGTTCTTGAAAAAAGAAATAATCTTTCGCATAAAAATTTTACACACGAGGAAGCATTATTAAGGCGATAAATATTATTTTATCGTAATTAAACAATTTACTAGTTGTGAATTCTAGAGCCCAATCGATCTAAACTGTTATTCAAAAGAAATGTTTTAAGCAAAATTCGATTATTTTAATTTTTTCCCACCTCTGAGACAACTGCCTATAAAGTTGTTGCAACTGTTTATAAACACCCAATCAGCATGGAATATACAAACGCTTATTGAACGTTTAACTTATATTTTTTATGTGCTGTTTCCTATAGGTAGTGTGCAATAGCAACCGCAAATCAAAAATAATCTCTCCTGCGAAGGCCGTACCGACGTGAGTATGGGCATCTTCCCGGGGTTACAACATTCTGTCGGTTTTGTCGGTAACTTAGAAAATTTGAGACTCGGTCGGTTAAAACTGCAACTTGGCTTTAAAATAAAAAAAAGCCCTACTTTGGTTAGATTTTTATGGTAAAAAAGATTATTTCATTTGCACCCCCTCGCCCTACGTCTTCGTTGTTCAGTACAGCCCTGTCCCCTGCCATATTATAGGAATGGATTCAATCTCTAATTTTCACAACAAATCTATGACTCCCACTTCCCACCTCTTCAAACATCAACCTCTCCTAACGGCTATTACAACCCGCAAACACTATGTAAGGCAGGCGAAAGTATTGACATGAACCCAAAAGGAAATCGTTAAATAAATTATTATGAATTTATTTTTTTTGCTTTCAGAGTATAGTTGTTCGTCGGTTGGCGATACTCGCAAAATTTAAAAGAATATTGGTATTTGCA